TTTTGCTTCATGACAGTAGATCTTCTCTTTTCTAACTTCCTTAGAAGATAAAATATGGGTTAAACAAAATATTGAACCTGTTTCCTGTTGAACTGTAATTAAATGAATTAACTGTAATTTCCCTTTTATGACTTTACTCTGTTTCATTACATCCAGAAAGTACTGAGGTCCTGGCTGTTGTTTTTTGAGCCTGAAAGTTTAGTGGAGTACGCCACATCTTATATTTACTCTTCGTTTTAAAAGAATTTAAAATTAGAGGTTGCTTAGAAGAGGGAATGACAGACGTAAACCTGTCGGCTTCTTTATCTTTTATCCAGCCACATCCACGTCTACAACGGGGACAAGCCATCTTGTCAAGTGTGCGGAGAAGGAGAAAACTTTCTGTGTGAACGGAGGCGAGTGCTTCATGGTGAAAGACCTTTCAAACCCCTCAAGATACTTGTGCAAGTAAGAAAAGCAATCCTCTGTGTGGCTTATGTCCATGGCTGCTTCTTTCAGATGATCCCACGTCTTAACGATATTTTATTGCTGCTTTTTCCGATTCCGTTGCATCCTTTGAATAATGCTGTTTTATTTGTAGAGTGTTGTGAAAAGTTCACACCATTGGTCATCTTCTGTGTTATATCCAGAGTGGTTTTTTGCTTTTTCCAATGTGTTTTTTTTTTCTCTTTTTTTTTGCCTTCATATTTATAAAGTTGCTTTCCTCGTGGTTTTCCTCATTGTTACCTAGAAGAGATGTGCAAATATCCTAGTGGCCTATGACGTTGGATACCTATGTCTCCATCCAATGTATGAAGGAAGCTCTAAGATAATGTTCCTTTTTACCCCAGGGGTCACCTGTAAAGAGAATAGGACAACTAAACGAAGCAGAAGGGCAGAAGACCCTTTACTGACACTTCTGTTACACTTGCCATTAGCTTATTCTTTCTTAAGTATTTTTTGAAAGGGAATTTAGGTTGATCTCACAAATGAAAAAAGCAGCAAAGTGCATTTGTTTGGAAGTGCATGCAGCGTGCGTAGCATCATTGCATGTAGGAGGCAGGGTGTTCTTCCATGCACTACGGTTATTTACAGATATGTTTAGAATGGCGCTCTCTCCAACGACCCTGAAGGAGCTGGTGCACCATTAAGAAGTCTCACAGTTATTCTCACTCAACAGGCAGAAAAAAACAAAGATATTATCAGTACATTAAATATTTAAACCTTGCAGTTTTAGGTCTCATTAAAAAGCACGTGTTTATTATGCCATGCATTTTGAGTCTACTTTTGATATTATTAGGCTGTATGTGGTGCATGGATTCAAGTAGTTTGATGTGGTAAAAGATGTTTAAAGTCTCACTGAAATGATGAAACATTTATTTTGCAATTGACCCATAGCTGGGTCCTATTGTTCTAAAGTCAAGTCCTAAAAGAGAAAAAAAAAATATCATTGTAACAATTGTCTCCTACTCCAGAATATTACTAGCTTGTGACTTAAATGTTGACAAGAAGAGCAAGTTTGTCAGAGAGACAGCTGAGCTCATAGAAAGAACAATTAGCAAACTGAGAAAAAAGGCACAAGAAATAATTAAGAAGGCCATTTTCCTTTCACATCATAGAAATAGTGTACCAATATTGACGTGCCAGTTCTAAGAAAGGCTGCATCGTTAGTAAGTAATAAAATGCATCTTAAAAGGCACATATTTTACAATCATAACACGAAACACAAATGCCATTGGGAAGAAATGTTTTGCTGTCCCCTGTGCTGTTCTAGACACAGGCTATCTGGAGACTGTCTCAGGGGACCTCATGGCTGTAAACAAGTACCTCCCAGAACTGCCTTTTCGCCCTCAAAAACTCTTCTTTTAAAAGAGTAGAAGCAGTTCCAAGAGAGGACAAGTTTGGCTGGTTGTGTAGCTGATTTTTTCAATGAAGACAGACAAGTTATAGAAGTAAATAGAGTCTTTTATTTATTTTATTATTATTATTTTAATGTAGTCTTATTTTAGTTTATTCTTACTTTTATTATTTTTACGGTCTTATACTTTCATAGTGAATAAAAGACTAGGAATCACAAGAGTAAAATTCTAATTTCAATTACTAAATAGTTCTTTCATTGATAAAGGTAATAGTCTTAGGCCAAGATAAAATTAATGGGTAAGAGTCTTTAAAACTTCAAAGCAAGCTAAAAATGACAGAGTATATAGAAAAAAAAATATTTCTTTCAGGCCTGAATTATTTTATGACTATCAGTGTTTGTTTTAAAATTAAAGATTCACTTTTTGATCACCACTCTATTCAAATCTATATACTTATAGCAAAGAGTTAAAAAGTAGTCAGGTTTGACTTTGGTTCTGCCGATTTGCTGCGAATAACCCCCAAACATACCCCCACCCCATAATTATCAGTGAATTCGGATCAACAAATTTTACCGCTTCCTATAAGATTTTCTTTGATCAAAATAGAAAATACCAGAAGCTGAGAATTGTAATCTGTAAAATATGAGGCTCATTTATTGGATGAGGAAATTCTGTCATTCTCTCCTAATTCTGGGCGTGTGATGTAATTAAACGCGTCTCCTTTTTAAACGATTGTACCCATATTATCTGTCCCCTCTTTTTACTTCTCTAGAAAAGCATCTGAGACCACTCAGATTTAATTATAATAATGAAACATGAGCATTTTTCATCATAGCCTTTGCACAGATTTACAGGCTGTGTGAGTACATACGATCGTTCCTGAATGCCTCTTAGGAACCAGCACAGCTATTCCCCACATATTAATTTCAGCCATTCTGTAGCCCTCCCACGTCCCATACAAAACACGCTATCGCCTAAGTGCTGTTCATTTGTTCCATTTTGGAATTGTGCCAACAACCGTCATTTTTTTCACCCATACAGCTTTTCATTAAAGTTTAAGCCCAACTTAGGAAAAAAAAAAAAAAAACACTTGCTATATGTATTTTTTAATCTTGAGGCGAAATGTGTGTTTTTCCTCTAATAATTATTAAAGCAGCAGAGCAGGAATGAACATTCTGATCCCCCAGGCTGACTTGCCTTCTAGTTCTCAGCAAATTGGCACCATGGTTTTATTGTCTCTTTTTGGGGGAGTAATTCTCATCTTTCAAGAGAGTGTTCAAGCTTATTACTAGATCTTGTTAGGAAGAGTATCTTTGACATCCATGACTTTGATGAGTTTTATCCCCCTTTTGGACCATGTCTTTATTGACGCATCAAAGTAAACAGTACATTGAAGGAAGCGTTACAGTGTATTTAACATCCAGAATATTCCATGCCTTTTTTTGGTGAAATGAGAGTGTTTTTAATCCCTGTATTAAAAACATCTATAGCATTAAAAATAATCACTACTCAGAATAGAAACAAAGGCAGTCATAGACTATGTCTTATGATCATACACAAGACCACTTGAATAGAAACAGAAAACAGGAAAATGCTGCATTGGCTCATCATGGTCCTGTGTATGAAGCCAGTTCATAGTTTCCATACGGTCCATGTGTCTAGAGCAGAACATTTCTGAAGCATAAGCCGCATCATTCAGAATCAGCTTCATCCCTGACTAAAGCCATGACTCGGAAACACCACAAGCATGGAAGTTTCCAAGTAGCCTCTCTGGTCGCCTAATCCACTTGTTGCCTTCTTGGGAGTTGAAGTCGAAGACTTTTCAACAAATTTCTTGTGTCTCTCAGTTCAGAACAAGGTGTTCCAAATGGATTAACCATGTAACAGTTAAACACTTCTCTGAGAAGAGGTTTGCTGGTTACTTGGACGTTTCATGGGAACTGTGCGGGAGTTTCCGCGGTGTTTCTCATCTTTTATATTTCTCTGCTCTCTACAGTAATTTAAAATTTATCCTGGGGAAAACAAAAATACAGTTACTATTCCAGATTGCATAAAGACCAGAAAAGACTCATTCCATCCTGTACCGTCTGGGATCCCCCGTAGTTGCATGGTTCAAAGAAACAAGACAGTTTGAACATGGCCATGACGTTGTCCAAACTTTCTTCTTTGTTTTCTCCCCTTGTTCTTGTACATCTGTTCTTCTGAACAGTTTTACTTAGAGAACTATTTTTGAAGATGCTGATGTGATTTTTTTTCAATCTAAAAATGATTTTATAGCAGATCGTATTTATAAACCCATTACACTGTCCTGTGGACAGACGTGACTTCCCCATGTGAGGATTAGTATTTTAACCACCAATTTTGGTGAACAGTCTTGAGCCCTTTCACTTCAGCTCTCTGGACAATATATTTATTTATAACATGGACTTAATATGTTCTCCAAATTTTTTTCCAGGGAGTCAGTGAAATTAAATGAATTCATTTCTGCAAAAGTACTTCTAACTCAGGGGAAGCAAGATTCTTATTTCCCTTATAATAAAAAGTAAATGGTGGAATTACATTCTCTCTGTAGACATTGGGAAAATATATACACCTGTCTTAACAGAGTGTGTCACCATGCTTAATTCCCAATTCTTCATTTTATTTAACATGAGCAGTTTTTATTTGATTTGTTGGGGCCACCAGCTAGCTTTATAACTTTGCATTTGCATTCATTTAATCATTTAATATCTCTGATCATGAGCTTCCTTATATACAGAAACAACAACAACAAAAAAAAA